GCCTGGTGACGAACTACCTTGATGAGCTGCTTGGTGGTGAGATGCCTAGGGGCGAGCTGCCTAGTGCTGAGCTGCCTGGTGGCGAGCTGCCTAGTGGTGAGCTGCATGGTGCCGAGCTGCCTGGTGGCGAACTACCTTGATGAACTACCTAGTGGCGAGCTGCCTAGTGGTGAGCTACATGGTGCCGAGCTGCCTGGTGGCGAGCTGCCTAGTGCCGAGTTGCCTGGTGGCGAGCTGGATTGACGAGCTTCCTTGCTCTTTAGAGACCTGCAAGGAACCAAATGTCAGAGGACCCGGGGTGGCTAACCCGGTGAGGTTGCTCCGATGCTTAAGTCAGTACTCTCATAGTAAACTGCGAGCTAAAAAATCATAAAGTATGAGAGCTAGGATATGCCTACTTGCTTACTTGCTCGCCCCCCTTGCCCTTGGGGTTGGTGCCTTTATATAGGCATTGTTTGGTGTGGGCTTCACGCACCATATCCGAGATTTCTGCGAGGTCGTCTAAGTGGTTCGAGATTCCTAGAGGTAACCGCCATGCACGTTGACCACCCTCCGGATCGTTCGACACGTGGGCCAATTGCGAAGGATCGTGGGAGTGTTAGGATATGCATGCCGAATTCGTTGGCGAGCACGTCTTGTAAGTCGCCAGGTCGGTGCCTGGGCCAGGTTGCCAGCTCGTGCTTGTGCCAGGTCGCTCCTGTGCCAGCTCGTGCCTGTGCCAGGTCGCTAGCTCGTGCCTGTGCCAGGTCGCCAGCTCGTGCCTGTGCTAGGCTGCCAGCTCGCGCCTGTGCCAGGCCGCCATGTGGGACACCATCAACTTGGCTAAGGCAAGTTGTTGCCAAAGTGGTTTCGGGTGTCACCTAGTTGTTCTGAGGTGCCATGTGTCACAATATCATTGGAGGGCCAAATCCGCCCTCATCAAGTACTACTAGTAAGTTTGCACATGCTTTGCAAGTGGAAATTTTTGATGATGATGATGATGATGATGTTAGTAAAAATATGTTACCATAATTTTCTACAATTTTTTCATATTTCTATCTATAAAAATTGTTCTTATTTGTCACCCTTATTTTTGTTTAATATTATGAATATATGATATTAGGTAAGTGCCCAAATATTTCTACATTTTTTGTATTTTTTATACTTTTGTGTGTTTTCACCTTTTTTAATTTTTATTATTATTTAACTATAACATCAAGGGTTGGCACATTTTGACCCAAAAGGTTTAATTATTGACTGCCACCAAAACAAGAAATCAACTCATTTTTTTGGGTTGGTTTTAAATTTATATTTTATTTCTATCATCAATAAAAACAATTATTCAGTGTCACACTTATTTTTCTTTAATATGATTAATTAATATAGGATTCAATGAAAGAACGGGAGTTAATACCCTAAGTACAAGACTTAATGAGAGGGAGGGAATTGAATGAGGAGAAATGTAGTTCAAATTACATTTTGTGACTTCATAATTAGAGAGGGACCAAATTCAAAAACAAGGGTATTCTAGTCAAGAAGAGAATTTAGTAAATGTAAGTGGAAGTTAATACCTTAAATATAAGACTTAATGAGAGGGATTTGAATGAAGAGAAGAGTGGTTGTTCAAATTACATATCTATCTTTACAATTAGAAAGGGACAAATTCAAGAATTGGGGTATTTTATTCAAACAAAAGTTTCACACTCTCATCTACACTTTTAATAGTAGTACAGATTTATGTAATGGAGTCATCTTCATCAGTAAGTTTCATCTGTACATGCACAACCAATCTGCCTTGTGCGATTCATTGTTGGCCTTACTTTGACTCTTTTGCACGAGGCCATGATCTTGGGCTTGTTAGTGCTTTTCTAGCCATGGACAAACATAGTTTGAAAAGTACAAGCTTGGTTGAGTTTCTGTTGAGCTCAGCTGATGTTGTGTCCCTTAGAGACTTGGACCCTGCCAAATAGTGGAAATGGAGGGACAACATATTTCTCTTCTTAAAATCCTATACTATGAGCATCTGTGACCAGGAACCCAAAGGTGTAAATATTTGTTGGAACCACTGATGTGGTCCCCACCTCTTTCTATTGTATTCGTATACAACTACTATGTGGTCCCCACCTCTTTCTATTGTACTTGTATACAACTACTAGTTGTTTAAGTGTCAATCCACAATTAGTTGTTAGTCTTTTATTAGGACTTTAGTCTTTTAGTCTTTTATTAGGACTTTAATTGTTGTCTTTTATTAGGATTTTAATTTTGCCATGTAAGCAGTCTTATCCTTACTTCAGAATTAATATAAATAGAAAGAGGGGGGCGGCAGATTAAGCATTCTCTTCTTTTCTGAAATCCTTCCTTCGAAATCTTCTTCTCTTCTTTTCTCTTTCTCCTTTCATCCTCTTAATTCCCTGTTGATTATACACCACAGCTTGGGCTGTCAGTAGTCTCATACGACTACAATATTCTTATTTTGGTTTTGAATGATTTTTAGGATTCCACCACAATAGCAATAGTCTCATTTGAATGAAGAAGCATATATTCAGGGTTCAAGGTATATTTAATCATGGAAGTGTCAAAAATAAAAGTTTATAATTAAGAGCACTGTTCCGTAAACTTCTCCTGTAACAAAATGGAAAGAAAAAAGAAGGAAAATTTTGCCACAAATACAAATGCAGAAGATTGAGTCAAATGGTTTGACACTATATGAGGTATATTATGTCAGACTCTTCTGACATGTAAGATTGCCTTGTTGAATGAAACTTGCAGACATGGGGTTGTTTGGCAAACAGTTGAACCTTTTTTGGGCCGCCACCTGAGCTGGAACTGCAAATGGATTGGATCGAAGTTGGATAGGGGTATGTCCAAATTCAATCCAATTACAATCTAAGAGATCTGAATTTGATTTGATATTTGACAGATACATAAAACAAAGATTCAAGTTCAATTCATTTGTATATCCAGATATTGAATTAGATTAAAATATTTGTAAATCTATATAAAATCAGCATAATTTATAAAATTAAATATTATCATCATCATTATCTAAGCCTTGTCCCAACTATGTGGGGTTGGTTATATCAGTCCTTTTTTGCCATTCCATTCTGTTCAGTGACTTAAATGAGTCAGATTTGAATTTGAATTTGAATCAGATTAAATCCAATCCATTTACATCCCTAGCCTGAGATGCATTATCTAGGCTTTCTTAGTCATGTATGCCTCTTTCCAGGATACTCTTCTACCATACTTCTCTGTATCTTGTATGTGCTTTCAGGGTATATAGGTCTCAATTCAAATGCCTTAGGGATCATTCTTGATGGTTACCTGTTAAAGTTTAAGTAGATGCTCTCCATGAGGTACCATAAATAACTTCTTTACAGCTGTTGGTTGGAATTAAAATTCCAGAAATTCTATGACTCTTTGATATAAATTAATGTCTAGTTGTTATTACTCTAAATGTACAAATGAGCAGAAAGGTAATTTTAATCAAGACTTTTTTTTGCTTATTAACCTATCTTCGTGTGATGATTGGATCATTCAAGTATTTTGAATGTTCTAATAGAGCTTTTTTTTATAATTTTTTTTATGTTTTTTAATTTTGTTTTTTGTGTTTGTATTAAAAATTAGGTCTTAAATTATTCTATGTTTTTTAATTTCATTGGTTTATGTATTTCTTCATATGGGCACATTTATTTGCTATGCATGGCACCATCAGATTTTAGACCACAAGAAACCACCTAGACCCAACTTTATTTGTTAAATTTTAAAGCTCCCCAAAACAAGTTTCCCATATTTACCCTGGCTACTCCTTTTGCCAATCTGTATCCATGAAGAGGTGATGTCCATTGCTCTTTCTGGCTGTCTCCATCAAATTCCTGAATTACCACATTTCTTGGTGAGCATTTTTAATCATCATATGACCACTCTAGTTAAGACATTTGGCTAGCTAATAGTTCTTCCCTTATCGATGTGTCAACTCCTATGTGACCTGAGTAAACTTCTAGTATGCATCCTTGCCTATCTTTAAATACTCTTCCAATGCCTGAAGGGCCTCAATTGGCCATGCTGTTCACTTATTCTGAGGATATTTTACTTTTTCTTCTTACAAGCTTCCTTTTGTAAGCCATTTTTCTATTTCCTTGCCAATGAAATGAAATCAATATCAGTTGGGCAGCATAGTTATCAAGGCATCATCTGGGTAGCTAGGCATCTTGGCTAGGTGCCTCCTCTGAACTCTATGGCTTATATAAAAAGGTGCCTACATAGGTAATAAGGTGCCCGCCTAGGTGTCAAAAATCACAACGTGAGTGCCTTATCTAATATGGATGTATTAAATCCTCAGATAAGACTAGAGAGCTTCTCCTTCAAACATGTGGGTAGCCTCCCACTCAAAAAAGGATAAATAAATTTTCACCCAGATTACATAGTTACCTGTATCTTTTAGTAATAAAACAAATCCATTGTGGTTTCTTAACTCAAATAAAAAAAACCAGCAGGGAAGCATTTGATATTTTGGCCTTGCCCAATGTTCTTTTTCCTTTCCATTACTCTCTCTCTCTCTTAATTTTTTTTATTAGTATAAAATTATAACCTTCTTTAGTTGTTAACAATTTTATAACATGCATTTTCTATTTTAAATACTTATAACAATATAACATTGTGATTGAAATAGTGAAATTAATTAATTTAAAATGCTGTAGTTTTTTAGATCTGATGATTTGATATATTTTGAGTGGCAAATTAATATTATTAGTAAAGTGCATTGCTGTATTTTCAATTTATATGCATACTAATTGGTGTGTAGAGTTAGGGAACTTAATATAGGTTTACTTTTTTTTTTCTTTGTACAATTTTGTTGCCTAGGTACCCAGCTTGGTGACAGGTGACTAGGCACTAGACTGTTGCCTAGAATCTCCTAGGCACATTGACAATTATGTAAAAGAATTTATTAGCCTTAGAACATAAGAAGAATTTGATAGGAAGTCCTTTAACTCATTTCATCTTTTATATGTGCTTGAAAGGTGTATTGGGCTGGGTTTGACAAGTTTGAATTGGAAGGAGGCATAGTTCGGCGAGTTCTTTTGCTGGGTTATCGGTCTGGTTTCCAGGTTTGGGATGTTGAGGAAGCAGATAATGTGCGTGAGCTAGTATCTAGACATGATGGTCCTGTTTCTTTTCTGCAAATGCAACCAAAGCCAATACAATCAAAGAAATCAGAGGACAAGTTTGTAGATGTACATCCATTGCTTGTAGTTGCTGGGGTTTTTTCCCTTTCTGGTGCTATTAATGTTCAAGATGGCTCTACATGCAATGGGAATGTTACCGCTTTCCATGAGCCTGGAAATGACAACTTTGTACCTACAGTTGTTCGGTTTTATTCTTTGATTTCCCAATCTTATGTACATATTCTGAAATTCAGATCAGCTGTTTTCTCTATAAGGTGCAGTCCTCGAGTTGTGGCTATTTCTCAGGCAGCTCAGGTATATTAATTTTCTTTGTGCAAGCTTGCAGCTACTGTGCTTCTTCTTCAGTTATTGCATTGCCTGAGGATCTCACAAGTAACATCTTTTCCTTTATTTCAGATACATTGTTTTGATGCTGCAACCTTGGAGAGAGAATATACCATTCTTACATATCCTGTAGTTTTGGGTTGTCCTGGTTCTGGCAGTGCAGGCTATGGACCACTTGCAGTGGGTCCCAGGTGGTTGGCTTATAGTGGAAGTCCTGTTATAGTATCAAATACGGGTCGTGTCAGCCCAAAACATCTTACACCTTCTGCAAGTTTCTCTGATTCCCCTTCAAATGGGAGCCTGGTTGCACACTATGCCAAAGAATCAAGTAAACAACTTGCTGCTGGTATAGTGACCTTAGGAGATATGGGTTACAAGAAGCTGTCACGATACTGCTCTGAACTCTTACCTGATAGCAATAATTCTCTAAAACCAGGGAGCCCCAGCTGGAAAACCAATGACACTCTTAACGGCCATTTGCCAGATGCAGATAATGCTGGGATGGTATTGCTTCAATCTTCTCATATTTATTATTGCCTGTATTGTAGATAAAAATAATTTAATGTTACCTTTTCTGTGAGTTTGTGAAGGTTATTCCTTTCTTTGCCGTTGTTCTACTTGCTGCACTCCAATATCTAATCCTAATATTCTCAGTGCCAAGCATTAAGTTCTGGCTTCCTCTGCCTTCGCTTTCTGTGAAGAAGAATAATGCTGAGTAAATCATTCTTATACCATTGTATCTACTTGTTAGTGTTGACACTTTTTGCGGTTCTTTTAATTTCCTGCAGGTCATAGTGAGGGATATTGTTGGAAAATCTGTTATTGCACAGTTTAGAGCACATAGGAGTCCTATTTCAGCATTATGCTTTGATCCTAGTGGGACTTTATTGGTGACTGCTTCAGTTCAGGGTCATAACATCAATGTTTTTCGAATAATGCCTATGCTCCCTGGGAGTTCATCAGGATCTGATGCTGGTGGATCTTATGCACATCTTTACAGGCTGCAGCGTGGTTTCACAAATGCTGTAAATAAAAAGAGAAATAATTGCAGTTGTTTATGGTATTTTTTATGTACTCATATTAGCAATTTCATGACTATGTTCTCTTTTGTATTTATCAGGTTATACAGGACATCAGCTTTAGCATAGACAGCCAGTGGATTATGATAAGTTCTTCAAGGGGAACAAGCCATTTATTTGCAATATCTCCTTTTGGTGGTTCTGTGAACCTTCAGTCTAATAGTGCTGGGTTTACCAACAATGGGTCAGGTGTGATGACCAAGCCAGCCATTCATTGGCAGCATGGTTCTGGTATTCCAAAGCTTCATCAACAAAATTTTTGTGTGTCTGGTCCCCCAGTGACATTATCAGTTGTTAGCAGAATAAGGAATGGTAATAATGGCTGGAGGAGCACAGTAAGTGGTGCTGCAGCTGCTGCTACAGGCAGGGTGAGTTCCCTTTCTGGGGCTATTGCTTCAACCTTCCATAACTGCCAGGGAACTGGTTCAATTGTAGATTCCAGCTCCTTGAGGACAAAGTACCACCTTCTGGTGTTCTCTCCTTCTGGCTCTCTGGTACAATATGTGCTGCGCCTGTCAAATGGACCTGATTCCATGGAAATTTTGTCTGGATTAGTCACTGCTTATGAATCACCTCCAGATAGTGATGCACGGTTGGTTGTGGAAGCACTTCAGAAATGGGATATCTGTCAGAGACAAAATCGAAGAGAACGAGAAGATAATCTTGACATTTATGGTGAACATGGTAATGAGGATAGCACTAAAATTTTTCCAGAGGGAAAGAAGGGGAATAGTATATATCCTGCTGATGATCATAAATTTACAAAAGCAAAGGTCAATTCTGAGGAAAGAAATCATTTATATATTTCAGAAGCTGAGTTGCAGACACATCAATCCGGGATCCCACTGTGGGCAAAATCCAAGGTATTTTCATACCATGTAGAAATTAAAATAAGTATTTCTTTTAAACAATTCATTGCTGGTACTTCGATGCGGCATGACTCTGCATTTGTTGTCTGTATATTTGGACCAGATATACTTTCAGGTGATGATGATGGACAGCGAGAAAGTAGAAGAAAGTGTTTCAGGAGGCGAGATTGAAATTGAACGGATTCCAACTCGCATGATTGAAGCTAGGTCAAAAGATTTGGTACCAGTATTTAACTATCTACGAACTCCAAAGTTTCAACAGTTAAGGTACATATTGATCCTCTATATCTTTTTCCTCAATATCAGCCTAGATAGTTATTTAAAATCATTCTTGGCTTCAAGTTTGGACACAACAATTTTTTACAGGGCTTCTTTTGTTTTTCCCTTCTCCCCCTCCCTTTTGTGCTTTATGCTGATTAAATTTGATGACTTATATTAACTTGGGTGGCCCCAACCCTAGGTTTTGCAGGGGTAGGATTTGGATCTTTGGTTTCTGGGCTGGGCTTGGTTGTAATACTCAAGGCTGACCTTAATTCAAGTTGAACTTGGGTTGAGGCCTCATGTAACCTGATCCCAGACTGAGCCTGGCCCAATGCATCCTGATCCTGCCCGACTTATAAATCCACCCCATGTATATATACACATTGGAGGGGCCACTGCTTGGTGTGATGGTAAAATCTCAGGCTGATAAGTCGGAAAATGAGGGTTTGAGTCTGAGAGTGGTCACTTTGTACAAAAATGTGTCAAAGGATAGGTGCATATCCTGTCTACCCCTCCCTGCCTCCCAAGACCCTAGGTAGCTAGAACTATCACTGAGTAACAGCCCTTTTTATGTAAACTAGTATATGTACTATGCTGCCGGAAAGACATGATACCAGAAGAGCTTTGACCAACCAAATCCCTCCCCCCCAATCATCATCATCCATGCCTTATCCGGTTATATCCCAACTATATGGATCGGCTAATCAAATCCCCCCATGAATCTGATAAATAACCACCTAATTGGTTATTACTTTTATGATATTTTGTAACCAATCATCTGGTATCATACATGTATAAATCTAATGACATTTCTTTGCACTTTTATTCTATTTTTCATTAGGATATAAACCCCAAATGAAGGCTAGATGTGAAAAACATAAACAAAGAGACCTTAAAGTCCATCCAAACAAACAGGGGGACCTTGGTAGCCATGATACTCGTATCATTTATCTTCATCAGCGATCCTGTGACCACAGAAGAGTAACCTTCTATTATAAGGTGTCTATAGTTCAATAAAGAGGTTTCCTCCCTTTCTTAGTTGGATGTTTTTTTGTTTGAATTTCGAAGTCCTCATATTTTTCCTCTGGGTGCATCTTGTGCTTTGGTTCTCTAAAATTTGTATCGCTTTTTCATGCAATAAATTCAACCAGCTAAAATGGAGATTGTATCCCTCATTGCTAATTATTTTTTTTTCCCTTAGGGAGAGAAACAAGATTTCTGCATTCTGTTTCCTTCTAAGTTGCCTTGGTAGACACCAGTGTTGCATGGACAAGGCATGGGAATCAGAAACCAATGCATGTCTGGGAGTCATTCCATTTTCCTTGTTTTGTGGGCAAACTACATTCTTTAGCATGCTCTTCTTTATAGATCTCTTGCAAATTGAAATTCTAGGTTAAACCACCATTTTAGCTTTTTTTTATAGTAAATAAAAAGACATTTATTAAACCACCATTCTAGTTTTGATTGGATAAGGATGCCACTGATATATCTGAATTACTTCTTTTTTACTTATTCAGGGTGCCTGCTTTAGATAGCAATCATATTGGCCTATTGCAGAATCAGAGGTCTGGGCTGTCTGATGATGGAAAGTCTTCATGCAGAAACAGCAGTATCTCCCTTGACTGTATCTCTGAAGGTTCTAATGCAGCAGCTGAACTTCGTAGTGGCATTGAAGAAAATGGCTGGGATTGTGGCCTTCTATTTTCATCAGAGTCAGATGTGGGCTTTGTAAATAACAATGATAGCCCCAAAATTAGTACTGGACTGGAGTTTGTAAATAGCAAGGAGAAGATGGGGTCCCACCTCAAGTTTGTAAATAATAACAAACAAAACCTGAAGATGGAGAATCACTTCGAGGACGATGACAGTGGGTTGCATTAAAGGTAAGCTGTTCACTCTTTGCTTCGGATTTTGGTAATGCCTGTGAAGTCCCTGTATGTTGGAATTGACTAATTTAGGAGTAGCAGGTTGTCTCACTGAAACTGGAGTTGATAGATTTCTAATCCTTTATTTTGAACTGTTTTCACTATTTGTTGGGACTGGAGATATTTTCCTTAGGAGTATAAAACCCTATTCCTGTATGGGTACTTGGTGCACTCAAGCATAACTGCACTTATGGGTGAAAACGCTATTCCTGTGTAGGTACCTTGTGCATCAAGCACTGCTACTGCACATATGGGTCAGAGGTACAAATGACAACACCTATAGCTTTTATGGTCGAAGAATGCTATTCCAGTAGGACCATGATTCCTACATCTCAAAGGCAGAGAACAACAGAAGCAGCAAAACCGTAGCAGTTCTTCAACTATAAAAGCTCTAGGATTTGTCATTTGTACCTCTGACCCATATGTACAGTAGCACTGTAGCAGTTCTTGATGCACAAGGTACATACTACCTACACAGTAGTGCTTTTCAACTAAAGCCCTAGGGATTTGTCAGTTGTACTTCTGATCCTTAAGTGCAGTTATGCTGAGTTGTACCTAGTGACCCATAAGGTACCTAGTGCCCATACAGCAATAGGGTTTTTTACTATAGAAGTTCTAGGGATTCGTGAGTTGTACTTCTAATACTTTGTCATATATGAGAATTATTATCAGTGCATTAATCTTCCGGTGCCTTTAAGTCTGGGCAATGCTAACAATCCAGAGGGAGTTACCAAATGCCTAGGTCCCACGCAGAATTCGCCATATATGGTGTTATTACCGTGCACTTTGCACTCATATGGCTAGAGTTGTTACCTATTCTAGCTCCCCAAATTGCCCGATTTGTGTTTCCAATTTATCTTTGGTAGGTATTGAAGATTTGTGTAATTGCAGGTGATGAAGGATCGCAACTTACTGGTCCATCAGTCCTCAGATGTGCTGACTTATAGTTTTATTCTACGAAGAGGCATATTAAGTTATTAACCAGCATTGGATATTTGTGGAGTTTAAATGTAGAGAGAAAGGGGGAGGGGGGGGGGGATCTTAAGAGGGAGATGATTTGAATGTAATGCGGAACTGTGGATAATATGCAGTCTAGGATTCCTTTTCTGTTCAACATTGTAAATAACAGATTCCTGAATATGATTCCAATAATCAGTTGCAATCTATATCTATCTATATTAAGTTGAAATGTGTAGTAAGAAGAGGACGAGGGAAATGGAATCTAATAGTATTTTTTGCCTTTTTTTTATAGAAATTACAAGAATGCTACTCTATACCAATTCTCTCTCTTTTTTGCTTTTTTTTCTTTCAAATTACAAGAATGCCACTCTCTCCTAGAGAGAAATGGAATCTAACCGTGCTGCCCTCCCTAATGAAAATTCTGGGGGTTCGTTAGGCACGGCCCACACCCATGCCATGCTGCGGGCCTAGGCTGAGTTGGGCTACAGGTCATGTGCCATGGTCTTGGGCCGCGTTAGGTTGGGCCATAGGGCGGGCCTTGGGCTTGGGCCGAACCGGGCTAAACTGAATGGATTATGAATTTACGATTATCCAAAAAATAAATAAATAAAACACCAAATAGGAATTTTATTTCATTTAAATTTGAATGAATAATGATACAAAATACAAAGCATACAAATATTGAAATATACAATGGTTGGATACTTCATACTTCATACTTGGATGAATGAAATATGAAAATGGAATAAATTAATAGAATATAAAAAAATACAATATAGTTACAAATTGAAAATACAAAATTACATTAATAGCAAATAAATTAAATAAAACTAAAACAAAATTTATAATAATTTGAAAAAAAATAAAAAATTCCATACAAATAGTAAACTATTGTTCATGAATCATGACTTTCATCATCTGCTTCAGGTGAAATATCTGGTGTATGTAGTAGTATCATGCCCTCTGTGTTGTAATTGTAAAGTTGTAATTTATATTCTGCATCATGACTGCATCTAACCAACCCTAGTATAATGGTACCTGCACTAAAACAACTAAACAAGACTGATGGAACTGTAGCATGTAGTAGTCTATAGACACCGGAGGGGTTAGTAGATCACAGATCACGTGACATGGCGGCGAGAAATGTCCTCCGACTTCTAATAATTCCTTTAAATTGTGGGTTATTTCTTCTTCCTCCTCATGTGTGAGAAAATGTCTACTCAAATGGCCAGTACCACCCTTACTACAATAGCTAAAGTCTTTTCTACATTTTTTGCAAACTACTCTTGTCCCTTTCCCCTCAACATCCTCTATTTTAAATATTTTCCAAATCGGGCTACTAAACTTGGGGTTTTGGGAAGAGCCGACCATTTTCTTTTTAATTCTAAAAAAGTAAAATCAATTTAATTGGACTTACCTCAGATTGTCGATTCAGAATCCCAACTTGATTTCAACGGTTAAAGCCTCTCAACGTCCAAGGCTCCAAGCCTCCCAAATTGCTAACTTGGAGAATCAAACAATCCGACAATTAGACTATCAGAGTTCACTCGTATTGCAGAGAGAATTTATAAGAGAGACTGAGAGAGGGAAGAGATTAAGAGAATAAGAGAATTGTTGAATGTTGATTGTTGAATTGGTGTGATGAGAAGAATGGTAGAGGATAGGGCTACTTATAGGAATTGAAAATAATTTAATTGCCCAAAATACCCTAAAAATTAACTATTTTTTAGTTGTACAAAGGGCTATTTTGGTCATTATAAAGTTATTTATAACTTTACCCAAAAAACCCCCTAAACTAGTTGTTATATAGTTGTTGGGGGCATTTGTGTCATTTTTCTCCCCTCGATAAGCAAAATACATAAATACCCCCTACATAACTATTTATAGTTGTTAGGGGGGTATTTATGTAAAAAAAAACCCAAAAAGCTAAAACTAGCCATTGGGGGGACTTGGGGCTTCGGGGGGGCAGGCAACAGCTAGTTTTCGGACGAGCTACTGGCCGTACCGTGCCCACCCATGAAAGGCCGTGCTGCAGGTTGTGCCATGGGCTGGACCGTGTCGGCACGTGGGTTGCGACAAAATAGTCATGTCATGTCGTGCCGGCCTGTAGACTACAAACCCTTGGCCCAGCACGGTATGGACCATCGTGTTGGGCCTGGCACAGCCCATGGGCTGTCGTGCCAGGTCGGGCCGATCCAATTTCCAGCCAGGTTGTAGGTAGCCCGGCCCGATTTAGTTTCTCCTATCAACTCTCTCTCTCTCTCTCTCTCTTGTTTTTTTCTTTCAAATTACAAGAATGCCACTCTCTCTCCTACCAACTCTCTCTCTCTTTTTCTTACAAATTACAAGAATGCCATCTCTCTCTCTCCTTAAATTACAAGAATGCCACTCTCTCTCCAATCGAGGGGGACCTCAGCTCAGCATCTCGGATGCTAGGGGACCTACAATCAAAGGTAGTCAAGTTCGAGCCGAGCCGAGCTTGAACTTTTGAGCTCAAGCTCAAGTTTTTAACTCAAATCGAGCTCGAGCTAGAAGGCACCTCGACCATTGAGGGAGACCTCGGCTTGGCACCTCGGTCACTGAGGGAGATCTCTGATTAGCACCTCGACAACTGAGGGAGACCTCAGCTCGGCACCTTGTTAACTAAGGGAGACCTTAGCTCGACACCTCGGTCACTGAGGGAGATCTCTGATTAGCACCTCGACAACTGAGGGAGACCTCAGCTCGGCACCTTGTTAACTAAGGGAGACCTTAGCTCGACACCTCGCATGTTAGGGAAACCTCAGCTCGACACTTCAGCAACTGAGGGAGACCACGATTTGGCACCTCAACAATTGAGATTGGCATCGACTCAAAACCTCGGCTTGGCACCTTGGCTACTTGAGAGACCTGCAATCAAAGATAGCCGAGCTCGAACTTCTGAGCTTTTGACTCGAACTGAGTTCGAGCTCGAGCTCAATTCTCTAATTCAAATCGAGCTCGAGCCTAATAGTTTATGAGTGAGCCCCTGCAACACAGGGCCTCCTCCGCTAGTAAATATATTAAGCTAAAATGTGTACGTAAGAAGGCTTGAGGATGAGGGAAATGGAATCTAACCGTATTTTTTGTCTTTTTTCATGGAAATTACAAGAATGCCACTCTCTACCATCTCTCTCTTTTGCTTTTTTTTTCTTTCAAATTACAAGAATGTCACATTGTCCTACCAACTCCATCTCTCTCTCTCTCTTGTTTTTTTTTCTTTCAAATTACAAGAATGACACTCTCTCTCCTACCAACTCTCTCTCTCTCTCTTTCTTACAAATTACAAGAATGCCATCTCTCTCTCTCCTTATAAATTATAAGAATGCCAATCTCTCTCCAACTAAGGGAGACCTCAGCTCAACATCTCAGTTGCTAGGGGACCTATAATCAAAGGTAGTCAAGTTCGAACTGAGCCAAGCTCGAACTTTTGAGCTCAAGCTCAAGTCTCTAATTCAAATCGAGCTCGAGTTAGACAACACCTCAACCACTAAGACTAAGGGAGACCTTAGCTTGAAACCTCACCTACTAGGGAAACCTCAGCTCGACATTTCAACAGTTGAGGGAGACCTCGGTTTGGCACCTCGACATTTGAGGGAGACCTTGGCTCAGCACCTTGACTGCTTGAGAGACCTGCAATCAAAGGTAGTCGAGCTTTTGACTCGAGTCGAACTCGAGCTCGAGTTCATGTCTCTAATTCGAATTGAGCTCGAGCCAAGTAGTTTATGAGCAAGCCCCTGCAACGCAGGGCCCCCTCCGCTAGTATGTAAATAATAGTAGAGCCATACAATCCCTTTGAACTGTGTTATAGTACCTTTATAATTAGAGTGAAGCAAAATTCAAAGTATCGACACATATCGAGCCATATCAGTCGATACGTATTATACGGGAAGCTTCCCAATTCACCCCTAGGGTCTAGGGAGGGCCTTTTGGTCCTCTGATTCGTTGTCCATTTATATATACTTGGCTATTATTTCATGCGTGTTTGCCTCTTGTGGACGTTATTTAGAAATGTAACAAGCGAGAAAGGGCAACGGTTTATTGCCTTGTGCTTCCTCACCGAGGCGGCCTGTTATGTACTATGTATGTGGGATGTTTCATGGACGTGCTTCATTAAAGTTCATATCATTTGGGCAGGATGTTCGCCCCCATATGATGATGCTTTGGGAATATGTTCAGTTTGGTGCGGGGCTTGCCATGGCCCGAATTGCCAAAGATCTGAGCATAACCAAATAATCCGTCAAAACCCAAAACTTGGCTTAATTCTATATATGAACCTTGTGAATGGAGGATCATATGCTGTTGTGATTGTGTTCTAGTAAAAATCGTCATGGCCATGTCTAATTGGGGGGAAAAAGGAAAAATCGTCAAGAGCAGCTTGGTATGTCCACAAGAGTTGCAACTTGCAAATGCAGAACCGAAATGAATGTAATTGGTTCAGTCTTGCAATGCTGATCTTTCGTGAAGCTAATCAGGTGAGCAGCTGGACTATGGGGTGTGTTGGAGATTGGGTGAGCAGCTGGATTTAAAGATCAAAATTTTGATACGAATACGATACAGCTGGATAGTCTCAACCATTCGAGGTTGGTCAATATAAAATAGGTTGGTACCGACCCTGGGATTCATGTTTGTTCTTTTTTTTTCCTTTCCTTTTTTGGTAGAAATGTTTGTTATCTCTCTCCCCTAATACAAACCCAATCACCAAAACTGCCGTGGATTTTGTTGCTAATTTCCTTGGCGGAACTTTGCTGGCTATAAGCCAAATGTCATCTCATGACAGTTTTCTCTTTTTCTTTTCTTGTATCTTTCCACTTTCCTTCATTGATCGACCAGGACAAATCGGACTTCGGACCACGTGTATAACACTATCAAGACCTAAAATAACACCTTTTCTGCTTTTCACTGTTCTGTCCAAACAAATGAAATCCATCTTCCTTTTCCGACTACCCTAGACCCTAGTCCCTAGCAGCTGACTGATAGATCTCTACTCTCAAATAACCTGATAGAGAGACACGTGTCACTTGTACAATATACGGCCCCTCCGTAAACAGATAACATGCGCATGGGTAACCCCATCTTTTTGCGTCTTAAAACCACCCACTGGCCACTCCCCAATTTTCAGTACCTAGCAAACTAGAGAAGGAAAAAAAAAATAGAAAAATAAAATGGTATAGATGTCATCATCAGTCGTCGGCGAGGAGGCCCCGCACCGGTCGGAGATGAGCGATGCGGAGCCTACAACGCCGAGGGTGCTAGCGGTTCTGTCTTTCATGCTCGAGAGATTGGTCGCCCGGAACGACCGCCTCGTTGTAGATTGTGGCCAAAACCAGTTCGAGGGCTTGAGTCCGTCCAGAAGGGGACTGAACGTGTTCCATGGAATACGGGCGCCAAGCATTAGTATACCAAAGTACCTGGAGAGGATATACAAGTACACCAACTGTAGCCCTTCCTGCTTCGTTGTCGGATACGTTTACATAGATAGGCTCCTGCACAAGTACCCTGACTCTCTCGTTATCTCCCTCAACGTTCATAGATTGCTGGTTACGAGCGTCATGGTTGCATCGAAGGTGCTCGATGACGTGTGAGCTCTCTCTCTCTCTCCCCCCTCTCTCTGTTTCTTTAATTTCTGGTTATTTATTTGATTGATACGATGGTTTGCATTGCTTATCTTCATCCTTCATTCTGTCATTATTTATTGCTTTAAAATGTGTGGGTCTTGTTTGAATGATTTTGTGGATTATTATTAGTATTTTGGGTTTTGGGAAGATATCGGATCGAAACTAAGATGAGATGGAGAAACGGAAGTTGGTGAGATTTCTAAAATTAAGAGTGGTAAACTGTGTTGTTATTAAGTGGATTGCGCAATATTGCTATAGTACCACTACCAGTGCCCGTAATGTATTCATCTTTTTTCCTTTGATCCTCTCTGTTCTTTCCGTTTGGTTTTTGGCTTTTTGGGTGGGAAACTCCCTCGACCCTCCCCCACTCCAAGAGTAGATAATAGTGGCAATGAAACTAGCTGTACAGGTGGCAATCTTACGGTAGGGAAGGGGCATTTCACTACACACGTGGCAAATTCACTGAAGGCAGTATATACGAATGGAAATGGTGGGGCCCACTCCTTTGCGTGGTTACCAGTAAATCTTTGTAACAGAGCTCCTGTCCAGCCGAAAAAATAAAACTTGCCATTGTTACAACCAAGCGAGAAGCGATTTATGGCACCCTGAGTCTGAGACACTCATGGAGTTTGTTCATCAAGTCCCACTTGGATACTGCTGAGTCATCTCCAGTTAAAAGCACTTAGCAAGGGAGACATCATTCTCTTAGTACTTGATATTGCTTGTTTTTTTTGGCTGCAAAGCTTTCAACTTTTTAAATTGCTTTGTCCTCTAATTAGAGGAATTCTTAGCTGTCCATGGGACCATTGCAACTCTACCAACTTATCATTTCTCTTCTAATTATTGCTTCCCTTACTAAATTAGCAATGGCCACTGATAAGTAAGAAAGGAATCCCACTCTCACTCCCCACTCGAATCTAGAAAGAAAAAAAAAACTCTTTTGAGTTTTGAAGCATCCAACCTGAAACAAAGAACCAATCACACAAGATTTTTTTGCTCTTCCAATGTGAAAAAATAAAAGCCCTTATGCGTCCAATGTCTCTGCATCACTAATCCCAGTCATCACATCAGAGTGAGGGGCCACACATGATCACAACCTTTCGATGCAGTCACTGGCATTATTTTTCAGTCATTTGAAAGAACATGTTCATCTGTTGGTTGGGGATTTGTATTCAGGTTCACTTTTCGCACCCCCATAATTGAAGGTATGGATACATGGCCTGCCAATTTGATGATTTTGATTGACAATATGATCTCAGGGCTCTATATAACAAGGCATATGGTTCTTGATAGAGTGCAATGGAAAATCAGGATTTGGGTGGCTGATCCCATTTCTGTTTGGTTGGGATAAGGCCTTATTCGGTTTGAGTTGTATTATACTATTATAGACTGGATTGATAAATATATTTCATAATGCACCTGGTCAATTCTGGTCCTTGAGAGGGATCTGTTTGCTAGCTATTGTCTTACACTGATTCGATTAGTCTTTCCATGACAAATACCCCTGTTATCGGATAATGCTTATCATTTATTTCTCTTAGTAGATGGCATTATGTGGCTGTGCCTATGTCCCCACTGACTCATCAATCTTTTCTTTTTTGGTAAACTACTGACTCATCAACCTGGATTCCTTTGACTACTCCACCTATTCGATGAATTTAAATCAGAGTTCTAAAGTGATGAGTAAATGTGTTTGTATAAAATATTAAATTATGAAAAGGATTTATGTATTATCACTCTAATCTATGAATCCTCTCTCACTATTCACCATCTGTAATGATACAGGCATTACAATAATGCATTTTATGCTCGTGTTGGTGGTGTGAGTAATGCTGAGTTGAACCGGCTTGAACTGGAGTTGCTGTTCCTGTTGGATTTTAGTGTTATAGTTACCTCGCGGATCTTCGAGACTTATTGCTTTCATTTGGAAAAAGAGATGATTTGGTCTGCTATTGGTCAGAAAATCGAGAGGGTAATTGTCTCTAGTTCTGTTGATGATGAGACAGAAATCTCTGTTGAGGATACTGCAAAGAGTTCTTCACCTTCTCAAACCATTGGTTAATGTTCCTCTTCATAATTAATCTCCTACTTGCTTAATAGTTGTAAAGTTTTCTGATTGGCTAGTTTTATTCTAGTTTCTCTCTTCATCTTACAAGGTTTTATAGCATATATTTCCATCTTTTCTTCCCACAGAGTAGAGTAGAAAATGGAAAACTGGAATTGAAAAAAAAAGTAGGAAATGAAGAGAGCCTACTTCATCTTTGCTTACTTCATAGAGGTGATAACATATCTAGATTTAGAAGGATGAAGGATGCTGCTTCCTGATAACTGCTTCATTGGCGAGGAAACCCGAGCCTCTAAACTTTAATCACGTGCTTTCGATGTCTTATTGGGGAACAGAGATGCAGGATTTCAGAGCAGATCATCCAAGGGTCTATCTTGTACAGGTTATAACTTTTATATTAATTAGAAATATGAATAGTTATGAAAAGTCCAAAACAAGGGTGGGTATACCGTATACAACCGATATTAAGTGTGGAATCAAACATTTGGCCAATCCATTGGGTCCCCAAGAGTCTGATCATCCAGAGGATCCCTCCACATGGAAAAAGTAGGGGGAGTCATGTGAAGAAGCTCTCAACATTCTCTGATACTTAAGGTCATGGATACATGGCATGGGTGGAATGGCTAAAAGACTTCATATGCAATACTGGTTTAAATTCTCTTCGAAAATTTATTTGACTTTCCCACGCATTAAAATTTCCCTAATTACTATAAGTCTATAACTTATAATTTTTTGTATTCATACTATTTGAACCTTGATCTATAGGTTGAAAAGACAATAAACCCACCACTGCTCGATTTGTTCAAATCATGGTCGTAGTGGCATGTATTTTGAATCTTAAGTTTTCTTTTCTTAGGCTGTGTTTGGTTTGAAGGAAAATGTAGGGAAAGGAAGGGAAACCTTTACAAACCTTGTATAGGTTTTCTTACCTTTTCCTACCTTTTCCTTCAAACCCAACATAGCCTTAATGAATAATTGTTTGTAAATGTTAAAAATTGATTATTCAAATTTATGTTTATAAATATTAATACAAATTATGTCGATCTTCTAATATTTAAGATATACTCATTTACTTGAACATTTCATTTCAGTCTTATCATTTTCCAGCAATTATCAATTGTGTCCTAATAGTTCACACTTCACACAAACCATTAAAACGTGTTTCTATTGTTTTACGGTAGTTTAAAATTTATATTTTGTGTTATTAACATATTTTTGGGAATTATTTGAGTTTCTTAATTTTTCTATCATATCAATGTGTGTCCAAAGCATATCACAATGCTTATCTTAAAATTGCTTTTCTGATATTTTTTGCATTTCCAATGCTTCAAAACCTTGTAATTGATGTAAAATGCATTTAATACATAATTTGAAATTCATTATTATTTCATTAATTTTGTTTTTCACATTTTTATTTGAGAAAGTGTAATGGTGAGCTAGATAGATAATCAAACCCCTTTGATCCATGACCCAATGACAATGTGCATGAAAAATAATGCAAGTTGGACAAGAAGTTATTAAAGAATTTTCCATTTAGGGTAGAATAATAATAACTTCTTGACACAAATAATACACGAACCCAGGTGTTTGTCTTATGAAGGAAAGATTTACTTTTCTATAGGCTCTTGCAAATCTTAACTGAATACAAATTTTACACCTCATTCAGATTCCTTGTCTGGGAAATTTAGAGTTCAGTCAACTCAGGGAGTTTTATTAGGTTTTTGGGTTTTATTTACCAATAACTCCAGCTATGATTCACTAACCCTCTTGTAGGGTTGTTTATGGGTCGGGTTGGGTTGGTTTATTAGTGTTTTTTTAACCGATTCAACTTGGTTGGGTTACATAAAAATTAAACCAGAACCGACCCTCTATTAAACAAAACTGACTTAGTCGGTTTGGGTTTCAACCGATCCCAAGCTTGCACATGAACTTAAAGCGCTAATCAATGTATTGAAAGCTCATCACTGCCTCTTTGAAACGTCCATTTTGGTCAAGACCAGAGACCATGGAGTTCCACAACACCAAATCTTTAACACTCGTGAAATTAAAAACCTTGCAGGCATCGTAAATGGCGGCACATTTGGCATACATGTTCACCAGCCCATTTTCAATGGCAACCTTTACATCATTGAGGCATGTTCTGAGTACAAACGCATGAACCTCTCTACCCTTCCTTTTCCCTTCTTTGACACCTTAAACTCAGCACAAGCACTAAGAAGAACTACATAAGAATCACAGTTTATTCCCACCAAGTATTTTGTCTCAATGAAAACCTGGGTTGCTGCTTCTCCTCTTTTCTAACCAGATTTTTTCATCAAAGCTTAAACAAAATACAAATAAAATATATCAACTTTTAACATGCATTAAATTTTAAATAAAAAAATACTAACCTGTGAATGTGATGCTTGAGTCTTGAGAAGTTGAGAGTTGAGACTTGAGTTGAGAGTGAGAGTTGAGATTTGAGAAGATGGGAGCCAAGTGAATGAATGATGTTGAAATTTGAAAATCTTGAGAGTGCTTGAACCTTGAAGAGGTGGACTAGGAAAAAAAGAGTCAAAGAAGAATGAAATTTGAAAGAAGACTAGGACTTGCAATGCTTAGAGAGTAGAGAATCTCTAATCTAGGAAAGAAAAGACTCCTATTTGCCATTGCCTATTTGGTGTAAAGGTCCTTAGAGAGTAGGGAACCTTTCTTTTAATCTTTCCAAAAAATGCAAGAAGCTAATATTTCTAAAGGAGTAAACGTATAGGGACTAGGAACTTTGCTTGCCTTGCAATGCTTGCCATTAATGACAATCCTAAAGACTAGAAAGAATAGATAACTAAGGGGATGTTTGGAACCGTGGCTGTTTTTCGAAAAAATGGTGCCATGTTGGATCCACATAGGCGTTTCAACAAATGCCCATGTATCTCATTGTTTGGTTCAGCCGATTATTAAAAAATTGGGCATGCCTCGAAAATCGGGACCCCGTCAATGCATGAAACGCCAATGGTTGACTGATGTGTATCCTATGTGGTGCTTACCTGTCAGTTCATACATGAAAAACGGTGATGAAAATCACCTTACCAAATAACATAGTGTTGCTCACTGCCTATGTGGCAGAAGTAGTTTTTTTTTTTTTTTGTGAAAAACGGGTCTTGGAAGCATGGGCATTTTTTCTTAAAAATCGGTTCCAAAAAGTGCCCATGCTTCCAAACACCATTTAAGTTAGTAACTAGAAAGAATCAAAGAAATAACTAAAAAATTAATGCTAAAAATAAGTAATAAAGTTAGTAAATAACTAGAAAGAATTAAGATAGAGACAACCTAGTTAGATAACTCGGTTCAATTCGGTTCAGTTACCGAACCGAATTATTGGTTTACACATCTTCACAACCCGAAATCAACTGGTGGTGAAGAAAAATCGGCCGATTCGAGTTGGGTCGGGCCCAGTTGGTCAGTTTGAATTTGTTTATGAACAGCCCTACCCTGTTGAATTTTGATTCATTCCCCCACCTATTATTGTTCCAACCGTACTAAAGTTTATGGGCAACTGAACAATAAAAACCCCATATTTATATTTGTTTGTGGTCATGATTTGTAGTGGGTGGAATGAATAATAAAAACCCCATGTTTATATTTGATTGTGACCATGATTTAAATTTCTTTTTCCTATGAAAAATGGGGTCTGCATCATTTATCTTCCTAATTTACTCTTTAAAAAAACCTTCTACATGCCTCCATTGTTTCAAAGTGGGAACCAGATGATTCTACTTTCTATTTTATTTCTAACAAATAAATAAAATAAAGTTAAAACTTAATTGTCGATCTTTTTTTTCTCCATGACTACACAACGGGGGTAGTCCATCCCCCGAACCCATAACACCCCCCCAAACCCTAGTGCAGACGGGGATTCAATCCCAAATCTCTGCTAAACCGGCTAGAGATCTTATCAACCAGTCAATTGGCACCTTGCAGAACCTTAATTAGCAATCTCAATTGATTAAACTCATTATATTGATTGCAGGGATGGAGGGGACCTGCAGACGGGTTTGCTAATGCGGGTCACTTGTCTTTTATCTTTAGTTCTAGAGTTCTGCCATGCGATTTTCATTATTCATGCTTTTCTGATCCCTTGGATACTTATATTTTAGGCCAAAATAGAGACATCAGGGTCCTTGATTCATCTTGTCTTGTAGAAAGAAGCCATTCATTTACTTCAATTGATCAAACTGATCAGGATTCAGTACTGCCCAATGCCCTAAGGGCTAAGGCTCAGTTTGGAAAAGGAATACATATTTATATGTATAGTATAAATACATACAAAATAATATAAATAATATAAAATACAAGGTTTTGTACTCTACATATTCCAAACTGAGCCTAAGGGACAAAAGGAACTGCCAAATTTAACTATACGTTACTGCTTCAACGATAACAATTATAGTGAAGTCTTACAATATTAAAATGTAGAACAAAGTTGTTGGATGTCCTACTCTTAATAAAGACTAGGAGGAAAGAGCCCGTGCATAAATGGGCATTACAAACGAAAGAAAAAATTAGAGATGATGGAGACAATTAAGGAGGAAACACAGTTCTGGGTGAGAGAAAAAGTAGAAAGAATGAAAGAAGATTTTGAGAAAAAGGAAAACTGGAATGAAGTTAGAGAGAGAAAGTATGAGTTTTAAGAAAAGATGAAAAATAAAAGAAAAATACACTGAAAAAGGGAGAGAGAACATGCTTAATCTCATACGTGAATTTTACAATTTTTTATGTATAAAAATCATAGGGAGACGCATTAGACATCACCATCTCCCTTCAATAATATAAATGGCATAGATAGATAAGCAGCCAATAACCATATCTTTGAAGTTTGAGAAACAATTAATATTATGAAGGAATTGGAAGCTGGAGGTTGGATGGAGTGAGATTTGTTGACAATACAAACATGGGTGATATAGCGCTAGCACCAAGTCAGCTTAACCACCAACCTAACTATGCAGTTTTCCTTCAACTGGATTCTAATTGGGATGAGGAAATTTGCAGAACAGTATTATTGCAAGGAGTCAAGGATACCTGTATGTGTATGATTAGTTACGTAGCATGAATTGTCTACAGTTTAACTCTTGTTTATTTGGGCCAATCAGGGGTCCCACACATCAGGCTAACCTGGTGGATTCTGATTAGCATGGTGCCATCTGTAACCTTTAGGCTGTGTTTGGTTTGAAGGAAAAGGTTGTACAAGTTTTCCTACCTTTCGTTCAAACCAAAATAGGTTTAGAGGATTCATAGTCCTTAACAATACAGGATTCATGATTCTACCGGGTGTCAATCTGACACAACCCTCTTCTTTCATCCAGTCTTAAGACCAACAATGTAAAATAAGCTCCCAATGTCTAAGAAATACTACTTCAACAGCACTGTAAGAAGTAAGTGATCTATTGAAAGTTGAAGGGATTAAAAGGGCTGAGGATAGAACATGGATAGGAGAAAGTAAGAAATCATTTAAGGTTCATAATTTAACAATTGATAATTAAATAAACGAGATTAATGAGAAAATAGAATTCATGTGACCACCCACCCCCATACAGCTGGATAAGGCTTAGATGATGATGATACTCTTTTCCAGCAATGAACTGGTTCTGAGTTGGAAATAGATGAACTTGCCTGGTGTTAGAGTCAATGTGGGACAACTCGTTAAGGGAGGAAAATTGCCAAAACAGAATGAATTGATCCATCTCTTAGGCCCTGTTCATTTTTTGGTAACTTATTTACCTGGGTAAATGCAGTTACCTAGGAAACACTTACCCGGGTAAGTTCACTTACCCATGTTCTTTTATTTCTCATATAGATAAGGCAATGACCATTTTAACCATAAAAATTCATTATTAAAAAGGGCATTTTTGTCCCATTTAAGTATTGGCAACTTTTCCCCTAGGTGGGAAAGTTATTTATCCACTTAGGAGATGGGTATCACTTACCCGGGTAAATGATACCCAAGAAAATAAACTTTCCTTGGTCCCCACATAAATCTGAAAAAAGAACATGGGATTCTTGGTCAATGGGAACCAAAATCCCATTGA